TTTGTCTGTTATGGCAGACGGCAGCAGGGAAGTGCTGTGTCCAAACAAAGATTATCCCACTGGATTGTGGAGGCCATTTCATTTTGTTGGGATTTTTTGATGGCATTAGCCATTTCCCTGCGTGTTCAATGAGAGTCAGGAGAGGTTTTCTTTAATGCAAAAGTATTAGCCATTTAATGAATACAATTGAATAATTCGATAGATACAGAGCTCCGCGTTGGAGGTGTCCCTCACGTATGTCCAGGCCATCTTCAACAACAACTCTTTCCTTCCAACCACTTTTATACACATGTGTAAACAACTGGTGTTCTAGGAATTGGCCGGGTGTGGTCCTTTATGTTCTGTATTATCTGGCCTTGGCACCACAGACCCTGGCCCCTCTTGACGTACATACATGAACATGACACAGCTAAATTACATACATAAACATGACACAACTATATAACATACATGGGCATAACACAGCTACATTCATAGAAAGAAATGAAAGAGCTACAATTAATAAGTAATAAATTTCTAACAATGTGCTTATTTGAGCAGAGGTCAGCCGCGTCCCCCGGAGTGCGTGCGCACTCTACTCGGAGCATTGCATCCTATTGGGCGCATGCACGCGGCGCCTCTTTAACAGACATTTGTAGAGCTGCGGGCTGGGCGACACCCAACACATTTGCAAGGTTTTACAATTTGCGAGTGGAGCCGGTTTCCTCAAGGGTATTGGGTAACCCTTGGTGATTGAGGAAACAACTCGGTGGGGTGTTGTAACACGCTTGCGGTGCCTTTTTTCCCTAACACTGAGAGATGTGCACTTTCCCGTCTGTCAGTAAAAGTTCCCCGTTCGGTGAGCCCTGCAGATTTGCCCGAGGCCCCCAGCACTGACTCAGCGGAGGAGTCACTACGTTAGCTCTGCCCACTGGTCAGCCCGCATTTTTGGGTATAGGTGCCGGCTATGTGTGATCCCCTCTGGCGATCCCATAAGCTTATTCCGCCACGGTTAAGTCCCCCCCCCGGTAGACCCGTGCCTTCCCTATCCGCTAACCACCTTCTTATGCGCCGTCCCCCTCCTTAGGGTTAGTCCATATGTAATTCCATTTTGCCTCCCTATTGGGTGCGGATGGTCTCCGCAGTGTCCCCCCTACCGGGATTGCACGCTTCCCAACGTACTGTCGTATTTCTTAGAATTATCTAGATGCTAGCGACTCCCAAAAAAATATACCTATTCCGTAAAGCTTCTTTTGAAGTGGGGATAAGTTAGGGCCAAGGGCACGTTGGAGGACCGTGCCTTCCATGATTTGGGTACGTCACGCTTGCCTGACTGTAAGGTGCAGTCATTATGGCGCATTCAATGGCTCCCATACGTGGATTTTAACATCAAATCCACTTATAGCACTGGAGTTCCCCAACCGAAGGGGAACGTTCGAGGTTACAGAAGTAACCCTTCGTTCCCCGAGGAGGGGAACGGAAGTGCTATACTCCGTCGCCATAATGACTGTCCCTTAGCTGTTTAAAAGTCTCTTCAGCTTAAAAAGGATGGCGTTTGCTGGCTTAAGCTGCCAATTCATTGCTTTCATTGGCCCGTTCAATACTCTTTCAGACGAGCGGCTTCTGAACCGAATCTGCGTTGCATTGTGTTGCGTTGCCATTATCTTGGAGTTTCAGATTAACCATGGTCAAATATGCATATAACTCCCTTCCCATCTTGCCTATGGGCTTGTCTCCCTTTCAGTGCTGCTTAGGCTACCAGCCCCCTCTGCAGACTGATTTCACGAGGCCGCCATTTTAAAAGCAAAATCGAGGCTGCTTTGGGAAAAAAAAGGAAGTATCCCCTGGAGTCACACAGGAACATTGTGTACCTAGCTGTATATCTTAATCACAGCCATTTTTGGTGGGCACCAGTGAACACTATGCCAAATCAGCACTGTTTAAGAGCACACTCAGTGGCACTTAAATGTTAGCGGGAAATGAATGTTTTTAAAACTTCAGTACCGGGACTACACTAATACAGACAACACGAGGGGTGTGCTACAGAGGACTGCAATGTTTTATCGCTCACCCGGTTACATAGGCTGAAGCAAGGAATGGTCCCCACTGTGTTTACCTGGTGCCATGAACTGAATCCTAGGAGGACACTTAAGCGTATTATTCTTAAAGAGATTGTAATTTAGTTTGATACCTAACCTGCTTTTAATTGTTTAAATTAAACTGAACTGAATGATATTAAAGTGATGTTTACACCATTTGCATTTTGAAATCGCAGCAACAGCTGGAGGTTTGTAGTCCACAGCATGTTGTTGCAATGTTTACTGTGCTGATCCTATACTTAAGTTTTTTTTCTCACCCCAGCCTAGCTGTCGTTCTTTAAAATGGTGGCCTTATGAAAAAAAGTTTACTCTCTTCCCAAGAACCAGATGACATTGTTCCTTCATGCATTCATTCATTCAGAGATGCCTCTAGACGTGGAGTATCACCAGAAAAGGGCTGGCAATAAGACTAAAGCGTCTGCCCCCTCTATACATGTGTGGTCAGATAGTCTGGTTGTTTTCCAAAGACTTTGCTCTCAGACTTTCCTCCCATAAATTGGGACCCAAATTCATTGGACCATTTACCATTATCAAGGTGCTCAGTCCAGTGTTGGTACAACTTAAATTAAGCTCCAAGTTTAAAAACATTCATCCATTTTTTTTCAAGATCCACTGTTTCTTGTAGGATTTTTACCAGCTGTGGCGGCAGGCCTTTTTTTTTACACGTCTAACGTTATTTCAGTGGCAAATGTCGCAAGCGCAGTATTACAAGTTAAGATCGCATTTATGTAATAGCCTGCAAGCTTGTATCCAAATCTCTTTGCTTGTGCACCGATTTCCTCTGCTCATGCACAAAACTTTCTTGCACGCCCCCCAAATATTTGCTGCTCAAGCGCAGATCTTCTTGTGCACTCTCAAATAATTGCTGCAGAAGTGCGATTTATTGCGTTTATGTAACAAGTGTCTCCAACATTTATTACATTTGCTAGGAATATTTATGAATGTATTCTTAAATAAACCAATTCTTCTCTCCCCCTTGCAGCCCTTAACCTCTGCTCCTCTGCCTCCCAGGCTGGTTTAGGGTGCACTTACATACACAGTGCACTGGCTTCTGGATGTGAGGAGGATAGGTAGATAAGTTATCAATATCAAGTAGACAGGAAGTCCAGAGGACAGATGTTGGATTCCGGCTCTGAATTTTCTGGACCGCTTACTCATTGATCAGTTTCATCAGGTCCATAGTGAGTCTTAAGGGAATGCCAGGGGGTGTTCTTAAGGGAGGGGTACTGTCACCGTATGTCACGTGTTTGTTCTCTCCTCCTGTTTTGGGTTACAGATTATTTCGTCATCTGCTTTTATTTGTTTCTCTTTTTCCTGTTTATACCACATCATTTCCCTTCATGTTTGTGAGAATGTTTTCAATTGTTTGTGGACAAATTATTTTTTTACTTACCCTGTATTTGTTTTCAGGACTACTGGTGAGCCAGTGTCTGTTTTTTTTTTTCCCCCATGGCAATTCCTCAGCGCTCACCCAACCGCTTGTTTACTTTGATATTTGCTTTTTCCAGGACTCACTCCTCAATAAAGACTTGTTGTTTTTTCTGCATTTGAGTTCACTCTATTTATTTATTTTTTACTCTTGACACATGTATTTTCTTTCTTGTTTGTGTTTAAAGGTCTTTAGATTTTGGAATGATGTCTAGCTTTTGAGGCTGTTTTGTTCTACTTCACTATGTCAGAAAGGTCCTAATTAGAAGATTTCTTGATTGTGAATGTGTGGTAGTAATCAGGTCTGGGTGTGGCCAGAAAACTTGAAGCCAGTGTGATAAATTAAAGTGGTTTTAATGGGGAAAAACATTTTCACACAAGGCTATGTAGTTCAAAGTGTTAGAATTCTGCATTACATTTCTTACATGCAGATTACTAAACCAGAGAACATTTGTCATTTAAAGGTGCAGATATAAGGCTTTATGCAGATGTGTCTGTAAGGCAAATATTCACAGAGATTCAGCTGTTTTTTTTTCCTGACAGGTTTACCAGTCAGGCACAGAATAAGAAAGCATTCCCTATCTGCTTTACAAGTTTTACAAAAACATGTTGCTTTGTTGTGATTACAAGTATATACAACAAAAAAAAAAAAACTGGCCATTTACAGTTTTCAAATTTATGTCTCATCAATATGACCAAAATGATCTGGGATTAATCATTTAAGAATCTGCTTAAATGTGTTTGTGTGTAATGGACCCCAGGAGGTTGAAATGAAAAGATCAATCTAAATATGGTCTGCTGTTTTTACATTTAATCTGCATCAAAATTAAGGTGATTCAATGAGAGTTTTAATGATTTACTAAAAACTGAACTTTTTTATTTCAGACCTAATTAAAGAGTATGAGAGGAGTAAAGAGGAGGAACATCATGTCAAAATTGAAGACAAAACTCATTTAGAGACTGATGGTATTTTAAAAGTGAGAGACAAGAGTTGTTTTACCTGCACTCAGTGTGGAAAGAGTTTGTCAAGCAAAAGCAAACTGAAGATTCACATGATGATTCACACTGGAGAAAAACCATTCACATGCACCCAGTGTGGGAAGAGTTTCAGCCAATCATCATACCTTAATGAACACATGATGATCCACATAGGAGAGAAACCATTCACATGTACTCAGTGTGGGAAGAGTTTCAGCAAATCATCATCGCTTTATAGACACATAAAGATCCACACCGGAGAAAAACCATTCATATGCACTCTGTGTGGGAAGAGTTTCAGCCAATCATCATCCCTTAATCTACACATGAGGATCCACACTGGAGAGAAACCATTCACATGCACTCAGTGTGGGAAGAGTTTCAACCAATCATCAAACCTTTATCTACACATGAGGATCCACACTGGAGAGAAACCCTTCACTTGCACTCTGTGTGGGAAGAGTTTCCGCCAATCATCATCCCTTAATCTACACATGAGGATCCACACTGGAGAGAAACCATTCACTTGCACTCTGTGTGGGAAGAATTTCATCCACTCATCACACCTTAATCAACACATGATGATTCACACTGGAGAGAAACCATTCACATGCACTCAGTGTGGGAAGAGTTTCAGGATATCATCATCGCTTTGTAGACACATGATGACCCACACGATAGAAAAACCATTCACATGCACTCAGTGTGGGAAGAGTTTCAGCCAATCATCATACCTTAATAAACACATGAGGATCCACACTAGAGAGAAACCATTCACTTGCACTCAGTGTGGGAAGAGTTTCAGCCAATCATCACACCTTAATCTACACATGATGATTCACACTGGAGAGAAACCATTCACATGCACTCAGTGTGGGAAGAGTTTCATGATATCATCATCGCTTTGTAGACACATGATGACCCACACGATAGAAAAACCATTCACATGCGCTCAGTGTGGGAAGAGTTTCAGCCAATCATCATATCTTAATAAACACATGAGGATCCACACTGGAGAGAGTCCATTCACATGTTCTCATTGTGGAAAGAGTTTCAGCCACTTATCACATTGTAATAAACACATGAAAATCTCTCGGTGTGAGAGAGTATGTGTGCTTGGAGCAGAGTTGAAACGGCACCAGAGGATTCACACTGGAGAAAAACCGTACAAGTGTTCACAGTGCAGCAAAAGGTTTACTCACTCAGGAACCTTGAAAACACATGAGAGGATTCACACTGGAGAGAAACCGTAGACATAATCAGTGTCTTCAGTTTCACTCATTCTGGGCAGCTTCAGAGACACATGGGATGGTTTCTGGTATGGTGTCGACAGTGTAGCAGCCTAGAAAGAGCACTACCATACACACAGGCATTAATCCCTCTTTTTACATCATATATGATAACCTAAACCATATTTATATAACATGGAGGGGGACAAAAACAAAAAGGCTAAGACAAAACAAACATTGAAACCTGAAAAAAATGGAAATCCACAGATGAAAAATCTGAGACAGACGGAATAGCTGATGTGGCCTGTCAGCTTGCATTGCAGCAATACATACAGACATCAAAACTTTCCGGATGGATATAAAATCCGATTTAACCACCTTCCAAGATTCTCTCGCAAAAGACGTGAAAATGGAACTAAGTAACTTTAAATAAGAAGTCTATCAAAAACTTTATGGCCTCATTACGGACCTTAACACAACGGCAGAAAAGGTCAACGAAGCGGAGCAGCGAGTTGGAGAATTTAAGAAGAACGTTGCTGAGATGAAAGAAATGCTCAAATCATCCAAATTCAAGAAAATTTACAAGAGAAACTGTAAAATCTAGAAACACGCTCCGTAGCAATAATATTCGGATTTTTGGCATCCCGGAAGGAAGCGAAGGGAATAATATCCAAGACTTGATGGAAACGATTATTATAATGGCGCTGTTATTTGATGAATTGGACCTTAAAATCCAACAGTGTCACCGGGCACTCGGACCAAAACCACCTGCTGACGCACAGCCTAGATCAGCAGTGGTATTCTTCCTGGAATACAAAACAATGAACCTGGGGCCTCATGTATCAACACAAAAACCTAAAAACTTTGCTTTACTAATGATGAAATTAATGTGGGAATGTGTGCAGATCCACCCCAACTTCATGCCTGGCGTATGCACATTTCTTGTGTGTGTTTGTTTTATTTCCATTGGTGACTCCTAGAGGCAGTTGTGCTAAATTGCTCTCTACAAAGTGTCTTTGAGCCGTGCAATGGCAGCTGTATGAGACAGGTTCATCTGCATGTCTAGCAGGTATATAAGTGTAACATATATGCTGGAGATAAACATTTCGTTCAACATTCCATGAAAATGATCTGGTTTCAATTTCCGGGGCAATTTAGGTCATTCGGTGACAAAAAGTCTGGCCTAAAAAAATTCCTGCTGACAAGTAACGAGTTTGGGACGTTCCACAGAACAGTCCTGAAGTACTCTCTGCCGACTTAAAAGGGACATGGCAGATATCTCTCTCTGTTCGTATATGTTTTATAGTCCCGTATAGAAAAATTCTGAAAGAAAAGGGGATTAAGTTTTAAACACCACCGCCGGCGAAACTTAAAATCTTTCTGGAAAACAGGGCGGTCATGTACATTTCAATGACGGGGCATCAAGAGATCTGAAAGAAAAAGGACTGATAAACAGTAAAGAAACTATTATAGGAATCTCTGGGAAAGTGAAACAAAGACTTTGGCAAAAGGTTGGAGTGACATCAAAGAAAAGTTAGGAAAAACATCAAGCGAACATCAAGGAAAAGCTATGTTAATTTCCATGGGTCAACACTAGCTCCATTTGAAAGAAGGGTAAAATCTGACAGATCCTAACAAAGAACTCTGAGAGGCTGGTAAAAATTCTTGACTTGATTCACAGATGATGGACATTTAAATCATTTGAAGGAAGAATAGTATTTAACCGAACTGACCAACGTCACAAGATGAACGATTAAAGCACACCAAGACTCGAGTCACTGAGTAACATACTGGTAGGAAGACATAAAGGGATTCTAATTTATACACCTAAAATCCCTTGCTGTAATTAGAAACATTTAACTTGAAAACCTAGCCAGAAATCCAAGAATATGTTTTTGCCAGATATGGGTGCTGAATATATTCGTTAATTTTTTTTGTGCAATAGGCACAGCAAGGAGAAGGGGCCCTTTAGAGAAGGAAGACTTTCCCCTCACATTAAGAAGTTATTTTAGACTTTAAGGTTTGAAGACCTTTTTCATTATGTTTTTTTTTATTTTTTATTTTTTTATGTGGTTTAAGATATTCATAAATTCGATTAAAAGAAGCAAACTTGTGGCTAAAATGAAAAGAGAAAAGCAATAGATAATCTTCTGGCAAAAGACACATCTTTGATACAGAACATAAGAAATTAGAAAAAATGGGTTTTAAGGTTTTCTTTTCCTCATATAACAATGGTCATGAATAAGGAGTAATTAATCTCAACATTAATCTCAAATAAAATCAACTTCCAATTAATATCGGTTACATTTTACAATAAGGTTCATTAGTTATATACAACTTAAACTCTAACATTGTATTTTCTGCTACAAACATTTCTATAAAGTCACTTTCTTTGTCATTTAATAAGAAATATTCCCGTAATAACCTGAATGACATTTTCTATTTGTTTTTAAATAAAATCCATACATCTACTTTTCTTTTTTCAAAATGTAAAAAAATATTCCCTACTTTGCCATATTACATTCTTTACAATTGTTATACATAAATTAAAAACAGTCATATTGCAACCTTTAACATCGTAACCAAATAAAAAATTTTTCTCCCATTCTTTTTGAGTCATGTTCTCATTATATTTTTCAATTCTTTCACCCCATTCTTGTGGTATTGCTCTTTTTAAATCCTCAAGCTGTTTTACAAGTGTTCCTTTCCCCTCATTCACTTCATTTTCAGATAACATGTCTTCAATTTATCATTTATCACCTCATAGAGCACGTCCTTCACTTGCCTAATTCCAGCTTGCCACCATTTTTTATAATATATTACATTTTCATCTTTCGTGATATTCATGTTTAAAAACAAAGGTTGTTCTAACAGCTGGTTTCTTCCTTTAGGTACAATGAGCATATTTTCTAAAAAGTTTCCCCAAGCTTCTAAAAGCTCTTCATAAAATGTTGGTATACCTGTCCACATTTCTTTTTTTGTTTTCATAGATAATACACTACATCCCTTATTTACTCGACCACATTTCTTTAAAAAAATAGTGCATGACATTTTTCCACACTGCTTTAATCTTAACATCTACAAAACATTTTACCAATTTTGTCCTTAATGTTTTCACCCTTAAAAGTGGGTCTAAAAGCCCAAGTCCCCCAACTTCTTTCCCTCCAATCAACGTGTCGTTGTATGCTATTTTTGCTCTTTCTTTTCCCCTTAAGAAATCTAAAACACATTTTTTTTTATTCTTTTATAGTATTCACAAGGCAATGGGGTAACACTCGGCACATACCACATTTTTGATAGCATTAGAGATTTAATTAATAAAACCTTTCCCTTCAATGTCAGGTTTCTCAGTTTCCAATATCTCAATCTAATTTCCATCCCTTTTAAAACTCCCTCCCAATTAAAATGATCTGCTTTATTAAAATCCAAACAGATCCAAATGCCTAAAATCTTGATATGCTCATTCTCTTTCTTAAAATGTATGTGCTGAGGTAAAACATCTGCCCTTCCAATTCTCATACACACGCTCTTTTCAACATGAATCTTAGCTCCAGTCCCTTTACAATGCTTCTTTAAAATCCCCATTGCCTTTGTTACACTTTGGATGTCTTCAACCAACAAAGTTGTGTCATCTTCATACTGGTATATTGGTTCAAGTTCGGTTCTTTCTTCTACTTGTATTCCTTTTACTCCATTGATTGCTTTTATTGCTAGTGGTTTAGCTACTAATATGTACAGTAGTGCAGATAGTGGACATCCTTGTCTTACAGACCTTGTTGGTTGAAAACATTACGATAAAAAACATTGCATTTAATACATGTCAAGATATTGTAATAAAAAATGTTGATCCCTTTCCGAAATTTATCCCCAAATCCAAAGTTTTTAATCACTTCAAACAAATAGTCATGTTCCACTCTATCAAATGTTTTCTCTAAAACCAAACTAATTAAATATCCAATAATTTTTTTCTCCTTGTATACAGTAATGTATCTCTTATACTTTGAACTGTGTCTATTATGTCCCTCCCCTCTACTCCATATGCCTGTGTAGTGCTTATAATTTTAGGTAATATTTTCCTTAGTCTGTTTGCTAAAACCTTTGCTAAAATTTTTAAATCTGTATTTAACATTGTTAAGGGCCAATTGTTCTTCAGATCTAAAGGACTTTCTCTTCTTTTGTTTATCATTTTAATCATTCCTATCTTCATTCTTTCACTTAATTCTTCTTTGTTAAAAACCTCATCATATACTTTTAAAACAGGTGCTATAATTTCTCTAAAACTCTTATAAAACTCATTGTTTAAAAAAGGGGTGTCCAAACTACAGCCCGCGGGCCATCTGCAGCCCGCAATCAGTGTTGTGGTGGCGAGGCATTTATAAATATTAATAGAATCAAGCCCGCCATACAAAAATAAACGTAATTCAATAAATTACCACCGGGTGTCACTATTACATGCCTTCAATTAGGCAGCACTTCTTGTTATGATGTAAAACTAAAGGCTGATTTATACTTCTGCGTCAAATAAAATATGCTACGGCGCTGACGCATAGCCCTTCGCCTGCGCCGTGGGTTATGCCGGTCACCTGACGCAGAAGTATAAATCAGGCTTTACCGACCAAACTGAAGGAAACATGATTGATAATCACATTTTGGCGAGCCATGGCACACCAAAACAAAAGGAAAATCAACAGTCAGTGCAGGAAGTTTCAGTCACGTTGGGGCAAAGAATATTTCTTCACAGAGGTCAGTGGGAAATGTATCTGTTTTTATTTGCCAAGAATCAGTTGCATTAATATAAGAATATAATATTAAAAGACATTATGAAACAAAGCATCAGGCCTTCAGCTCTTACACTGGTGCCAAACGAGATAAAAAAGTAAAACAATTAGCAGCGCCCTAACAGCTCAACAACAGGAGTTTTTTCATGCCAATAAAGTGCAAGAAAATTCTACACTGCACTGCAAAAAATGCTTTTTTTATTTATATTTTTGTCTTGTTTCAAGTCCAAATATCTAAAAAA